CTCCATGGACCTCTATCTAATTAACTTTCCTCTCTCTGCCTCTCTTTGTGCCCACATTCAAACTGGGGTAGAGAAAGGTACATTTGTTTAACCTGATGTTTTGAGGCAAAGTAAACAGTACGGTAACCTATTTAGCAGCAATGCTTTTTTCTGTGATTTAGCAATGATGTTATTAATAACCATGTGGGTCTGAAGGGTACTTAACCATGCAATAAAGAGATGGGGCATTGAGTGCCACTGTTGTGCCTTCGCTTTGGAGAGGAACACTAATTGCTAGTCGGGGAATCTAATGAAAACCCTCCAAACAAATAACAAAGCAGACAGTGAAGAGTGTATGAAAGTAGAACAAAGGGAGGAGAGCAATGCAAGGAGAGAATGCATGAAATAATGGAAATAATAAACACTGTAGCTACAGCTAATAAAGGCAGTTAATGCTTCACAGACAGTAATTCAAAGTCGCAAAGAGAAACAATAAAAATGCCAGCGATGAATTGAGGAAGGTATTAGAGATCAACAAAACAAGTATTCATAGTAAGTGTAAGGAAGGTACAAATAAATAATATAAAAAGCCTTTCTGTGAAACATGTTTTAGGAAGAGATTTAAAAGCTGACCCAAAGGGACAGGAAATTACCTTATTCCATCAATGGGTGGCTTTCTATCAAATTATCATGTGCAACATGTTCTTCCCCCAAAGATGTTGTGTCCTTTCTAAGGATAAATGCTGTTATTGGAAACAGAAATGACAGTCGGAAGAGAAACAGCTCTCTGATGCTAAAAAAGACTAGCATTGCCCATAGCATATAACGCTTTTAACTACTTTTAGCTGTCAGAATTTAAACTGAAAGCATCAACCATCAAAGCCATTAGGGTGCCAGAGTGCCCCTGTGGTTTTGCCATTAGCCCATAATATATTGGCAACAATATGCCAGAGCAGCACTACAGTATCAGCATACAGACACTGAGGGAAAAAGGGTGGCACATAAATAGCATAGCCAAAAGAGCACAACACTCCATACGAGGTTAGGATTCCCCATTGTGGAAGAAATGTAAGTTATGTGTCCACATTAAGCTGTAATGTTCTCAGAGACGATGATGCCACTTTTTATGGTAAGGCTGTTGACTATTCATGAAAATCATGGAGGTGGCTGTAGGAGATTAGATTCCTGCTGTTGCGGGAAACACTCATAAGTCCAACCAGTAATTTCCATGTTTCTACCTGATCAGACGGTTTATGTGGTTCTTTATAGAAGTTGCCAGCTGTGTGACCCCTAAGGCCCACAAAATCTATTCATAAACTAGAATAAGGATGCATGCTTGTCAGTCTGAAAAATAAGGGCTTCTTTTCAAAGACACAAGGTTTGTACCCAGTGGCAGCGATATTTCTGACACATGTTTGAGTCATTTCATTTGCATGAATCCTATGCATATTACATCGCTCCGACCTGTTGGCTACCACAGGAATTGTCATCATCGGTTGCAGGCAATAATAGTAAGTTACTGCTGCTTGTCATATGCCATCCTGCTTCCGCCATAATTTATGTTCACGGGACCATTGTCTTGAGGCCCGGGGGGCATTTTGTGTGCCTCTGATTCCGGCTTTATGACGCAAGGAGCGGAGAGCCTCCACCAATGCCAAGTGAACCAAAACCTTTCGCATGCCGAGAAGCTCCTTTTCCAAATGAATGTTTCACTTCCCTTCCCAAATTGAATCCGCGAGATGCGGAGACAAACGCACGGGTTTCCTGTTGATAGTCAGGGAGGGCTACATACGAACAAAATGAAAGGGAGGGTGATCAGGACGGTTTACATCTCTGAGGAACTCATCCGGAAGGGCATGTCCCTCATTACGCCTGTTTGGAGAGTGGTCACGTTTTGCCAGTTAACACTCTCCTCCGCGTCCTCCACCTGCAGCAGGTTAGGGAGGGAGGGAGACGTCTCTGACATGACCTCCAGTGAAGTGAGCATGTCGGGAACCGCTGGAGATTGGAGGCGGAACCGATGCCGAAGAGAGAGAAACACATGCCTCGCAATCAGCCATGAAATGCAACCTGGCACCGATTGGACTGAGCCTACGGGGAGCCTCCATAGACCTCAGCCTGCAGAACAACAGGGAGGGAGGGACGGGGAGAGGGTGAGGGATGCGGACGGTATGGAGAGGGTTGTGGGGTACGAGGTCATTCTACCTCACAGGGTGTTTTATCAATGTAATTAAACACGGGCGAGCTCTCTGGCTCTGCATCATACCTGACCTCCACAGCAGAGGGAAGGGAGGGAGAGACAGACAGGGAAAGGGAGGGCGAGGGAGAGAGGTAGGGATAACAAGGACATGAGATTGGCAGGATAAGGCAAGATGAAACAAGAGAGGACAGGGCTAAGCAAGAGGGATACAAAGCGAGAGATGCAGCACGATGCAGGAGTGAGAGGGGAAGATTTGAAATGTAGAGTTAGTGCGCAGGAAAGCCAAGTGAGCCGTGGAGGAGTCGAGGCCAGTGCATTTGAGGAAAGAGAGGGCAACGTGGGGGCAAACAAAGGCCTCCGGGTCTGGTGCACTATGTGAGGAATGTCATGTAATCATATTAGACACATCTCGCTGCGCTGTAGAAACAAAGGTTGGGCTTTCTCTCTCTCTAATATTTTATTTCCGAAGCTAGTTTTCACTTTCAGATGATTGTTTTTCATATGCTCCTTTTGTATCCTATTAAATACACTTTAAAGGATCAAAATCATCGTTAAAGCCCTTTGTAAACTGTTTTTCCCACCCACAGAAATCTCAGATATGAAATAACAAAAATTATCCAAACTTTTTCGGAAAGTTTTGTGTAAGACCCCGTCGCTCAGAGTTAAAAGCAAATTGAGAAAATGTTTTTTTGATAACTTTAAAGCTGAACAAATTAACATCATTCCTTTCTTAATAGCTGATGAAATGACTTAACACATCCTGCGCCGGAGGATAACATGGCTTTGTTCTTGTGCAAGACAAAGATAATACAGAGGAATACGAGAAGGAACAAATGCAACCATAGAAGAGGTACAAGTGTGTGTCTTGTTCTGATATGTAACTTTCTGTGGACTATGTTTGCTCTCACATCAAAAAAGTAGAAATCTAAAAGTTAGAAACAATCTGTTATCTGATTTATGGAACAGCAATAAAAGCAGTTTGAGGCTAAAGAAATAGCTTATTGCTAAATCACACACCTGCTCTAAAGTCTTATGGGCCTGTCATCGATGAAAGAGGTTCAAGTGCCTTTCTTTATCCAGAGTTGACTCAGAAACATAAGGGCCACAAGCCTTAAAACCGCACTGTTCTGCTTTATTGTTCTGTTTGTTTGGCTTTTTCTTAATTCTGTGTTTTTATTTGAACATTGTGTTTAGCCATGTAGCTTTAACAACACCTCGCCAATACTTTATTGAGACATATCATTACAAATTCACTTCTTAAGTGCTTTTAAACATACACTTTGGATAGGTTTTATAGCAACAAACTATGAAATAAAACAACGGGTTGAGAACAACCTTTTGCACACATATTTTTCTCCACTTTTTCTTGCTAGGACTCGCGTTTTAGACGGATGTTGAATTCAGGTATATGAAGAAAAACCTGATGAGAAAAGTAATCCCTTTTAACATTAAAGCAGGTCAAAATGTTATTTTTTATTGGCGAGAAAATCTACAAGAGATTGTACAGTGCAATCAGAGAGATACAGTATGTCCACGTTTTTGAGCAAGTCCACGAATCCAGTCTTTGTCGAGTCTGTCACCACCTTCGCGCAGCTGCTGGCGCCACTTCGTCCGGTCCTCCGCCAGCCTCTCCCAGTTCATCCAAAAAATACAAATATGAACCTCAAAATGAGCATAACCTATCCCCTTTCATTTGAACCATAACAACATTGTAAGCTTGTTTTGCAGGTATATCAAATAATGTATGAGATACTGTAAGAACATATTAACTCCAGTGACATTACAATGTTTTTGGGAAAAAATCATCCATTTCCTTCTGATACTTAATTGTTTATGAACTTAATAACATACATTATGAAGGTAGATAGATGGACATGTGATGGAAAACACAGATGAGGCTCTATAATGGGTCAGGTGTTTTACAGAGTGCTGCTATAAGGAACGGTATTCACCACTCAGTGTGACAGCTTCAAGCTCAACCCGTCAAAATCAATTTCTCATCTCCACGGCCCACATTAGACTCCCTGTCAAAATAATTGCATTTCTCTGTATTAATTGACGACTTATGATGAAAATAAGAGCTGTCAGGGAATGCATCAAACTACAGCCACAATAATAACAAAAGCAATAACCAAACAAATATCAAATGGACAAATGAGAGAGAGTGTTGGATGTGATTGATGCCAAGTCCAACCACACAGTGTTTATGTGCTCAGAAACGTAATGCTCCACAATTGACAGGCTTGATGACTGTATGTATTAAACAGCAAACAGTGTGTGTGTCCATGCATGCATGTAGAATTCATATTAGCTAGAGATTTAGCTTGGGGGGGGGGGAATTATAACAACTAATAGAGCATGAATAAGGAACTTGTAATCCGTGTCAGACTTGAATTACTACCCAATAATGCTTATTTCAATACACAAAAAGCCATAATCCCATTTATCTGTAAGCTTTCCTATTGTCATCAGCGTTTACACAGCAGAATATCAATGCAGACACACGCAATCATTACATTATTGATATGAAAGCTCATTCGTCCTTTGCCCTCTAAGTTCAGCACGGCTTAATGAGGTATATCTATTTTTCTCAGGTATAAATACATTTACAACTGCCGCATGATGGTTATGAGCAGAATGTCATTAAAGTGTATGCTTGCCTCAAGTGTAATGGACTGAGAAACCATCACACACAGTTAACGATGCATGCACAAAGTGTGTCCACGTATACAATTAGAGATGCTACGATGTACTGTACTCGCCTGTTTGACTTTGCCATTTATCATATTTTCTGCTTCTGAACAACAACGTGCCATGACAGGAAAAAGGGAGCATTGGTCCAGTGCGTGGAAAAGATTGATGAATGTGGTACCTTGACCTTTTTGTCACATAAGTCCTACAATAACCCCTTATACACATTTATTTTTCATGCTATTTGTTCCAAGAAGAAGCAGTCTTTCTGAAAAGGCTAAAGCATATCATAGATTTCTGAAAAACACAATGTCAGCTGTCTGTACCTGTGCTGTAACTGTAGGTGAATTGTTTTACAAATGTACTGTGTCTCAGATTGTTGTCGTGGTTTTAGTGGTTTACATAATAAGCTGGCATCTATCAAGGATAGTTTTGAGTCTGTTGTCCCGAGGTAGTTGTGATGGTTGTGCTTACATACTGCAGGTTGGCAGCCATTTTCCAACAGTGAATAATAAAAGAGAGTGATGTCCAAACAATGATGGCAT